GCTGGCTGTATCCTTACAGACAGATTTGATATGTAGTATAATTTTTATCTAACTCTCTGCCAGAAAACGTATTTCTCAAAATGTTGAACTATTCCTTTCATTTATCATCTGTCGGTGTCTACAGCTCTGCAATACATATCATCTTTTATGTTCTGTTTGTAGGAACATGGCTGAGATACATACATCCATTCTTATGTCACGTGAAATTAAAATGTGTACACTTGGATACATGCACAGTAAGGAGCTCATAGGATGTCTGAATATAATGTAAGTAAAATACAAAAGAAAAGTTCAAATACAAGACCTGCTGCTGTTGGATTTGTTGTAAATGAAAGTCTTGCAGCTGCTGCTATGGAGATACATTTGTGCTCATTGGCTTGTTGTTAAAATTTCACATTCTAAAATGATAAAGTGCCCCGTTGCCCCCTCTTATCTGATTAAACTGAATTACTCTCATCACTTACTGCAAATAACTTTACCCCAAAACAATGGGTAAAATGAATAAAACATTTGAGACAGTGCTTCCAGGAAAACAACCCTGACCATGACCCCTGTCACTTTATCTCTTCCTCTCATCTTTCCCCTCCTGCTTTTGCTCATTCTGGATGATGACAATAGACAGATAGCCATCCACTGCATGTGTTGACACACCACAGGGGACGTCACTTCAGAGAATATGGAGACAACAACTTAATACAGACCTGTTGCCACTAAACACCATCTTAATCAGCGTGTACTTCTTCCACAAACATTGAGTGAAAGTCTCACACACAAACTGAACGTACGCTCAAGAGATTCAGACTTTGGCCACTTTAGTTTACTCCCACTTATCTCTACCTGTCTCAGATAGATTCATTTTGAACCCCCTTCTGACATTCTTTGACATTTTCCACCCCATAACATTACCCTCCTCATTCTCTACCACCTCTACCCCCCTTTTCCCCAGGATGTCCGGAAAGGGAAACCACAATAACATTTTACCAGAGACTCAGTCAATATTATTCCTTGACATCTTCAAAGCAGGACAGAGGATATTGGAGTCCGAGCAAGAGACGAGTGGAGATGGTGAGGGAGTGTGTGTCTATGTGTGTGTGTGTAGTCCAGCTGAGAGCAGAGACAACAGACAGAGAGAGAGAGCTCAGTGTGGCCTTCACAGTCAGTCTGACAGAGAGTCTGACAGTCTGAAGTATGGCTGCCTGAAGCTATGAGCCACTCATTCATATCCATCACACTCACATTTTCTTTGAACCACTATCTTTCTTCCCTCAGGTCAACCATCTCTCCCTGTCCTCAACTTTGTACACACTGTGTGTAATTTTAATTCTTCCTCAAACCACTAGGGGTCTCTGTGTACAAGATAAAAAAAACCGCTTGCACATACACATCCAGCCTGGGTTACGCTTCTCTGTAACAGTTCATATTTCCTTTTCATGTGGTGCAGCAGCAGTGGTAGTAGTTGTAATTGAAGTAGTACCTCTATCATTACATACTAATAGACGAAGTAAGGATGCTTAAGAAGAGACAGTGAATAAATGTTGGGGTTTTGTGGCAGGACTTCTGCACATCAGACAAACAGTCTGTATGATGGACACAAGAAAAATATGTAAAGTCAATAAAAGTGGCGGAAAGCATCAGTAATGGCAGGGTTTCAGATTGGAATGGGGTCTCTTTGACACAACCCCTCTCCTGCCTATACCTTTTCTTCTCTAACGCCTCCCCAGATGTGCGGCCTGTAAGTGAACGTTTCTGCGGTCTGCTAACAGAACATTAACTTTAAAGTCTTCTTTCGTCCCCGGCTATATGTGCACTATGCTGTAAGCGCTGGCCCCCGTCCAGGAATCTCCTGCACCCAGCCGCTCATAAGCCCTCTTCTAACCAGCCAAGAATGTGAAAAGCTCCTTCAAAGAGAAGCACTCTGCAAGGTGTGGTTAAAGCAAGTACCTGAGTCCACAGGTGGACATATTAGAGCAGATAAAACCGCTAACTGAAATCCCACACCTGTCTCAGAGCAAGAGCCACAAATAGGAGAAACCGAGTAGCAAGAATAAAAAGATTAGATTAGATCAACATCTATTGTGTTATTCCATTATTTGCTACCTTCATGAGTCTAAAAACTTCTGAGGCTGCGTTCAAGCAGCCCATTGTGCAGATATATAAGACAAAGAAATATTGACTTTTCAGCCTTTCATATTGTAAAAGCTTGATGAATGGTGCCCAATAAAATAAGTCACAGGGTCACAGGGCAGAGGGGTCACAGTTTTACAATGTGGAACTGTGTTAAATGACAAGCTGATCAAAGACGCTCAGCAGAAACGCCCAATCTGCCTCATCTGAATGGAAAATACAAGGAGCGTACGGGGACAGTCGGGCGCTAACAAAGCTGCCCAGTAACAGAAGTGAGCGCGGAGTGGTGAGAAGAGGAGTGGAAAGGAGGGGAGAACATGGCCGAGGACAAAGAGTTGCTTGTCCGAGGTCTGTCTGCCATTGCCCTGCAGGGAGGGGCCCGGTGCGACTTGTTTGAGGGGACTCCATGATAAATTTCCCACTACTTGACTCTGTCACACAGTCTGCCACTTGGACAATAACTGAGGTCATAGCAGAGTAGTGAAGCGCTGACATCGCGGCCAGCACAGAGAGGGGCCACTTTCTCTCAACACGAGCGTTTATTTCAGAACCGTCTGCTCCACATCGTGACTAATACATCTCAAGAAGAGCGCTGCACTAAAAATAAATAAAACACATCTCACAGTTATCTTTACTTGGACCTGTTTATTTGTGAGCATTAATCACGCACATAAGTTCTGAAGCTCTCTGCTGCGACAAGACCCTCAATGCACAAACGTATTGCTGCAGGGTTGTCAAACACAGAAGGACATAGATAAATGTAATCCTCCTGAAGAGGAAGCACATGACAACATATGAAATATTGTTCATTTACATCTTTGGAATGACTCTGTTGAAAAACCAAACCAAACAAAACTCTGTGTGTGCGCCACCTGATTTCCTGGCTCTGCATTTTTGGTGACACATGAGCTACAAAAACACACTTATACTGTACATTTTAGAAAAATATCACACAAATGTCACAGCACGATGGTGAGATTTATGCAAGAAAACACAAGATAGGGGTTAGACATCAGGCGTTCCGTCTGCAGAAGAAGACTGTGAGATGAAGCTGAAAGCCCTAGATAAAGAAGGTTTTTGTTTGTCTGAAAGACATCACTTTAAACATCCTGAGGTTACAAGAGTTTAACAAACAATATCACATAAAACCCTGCAGGAATGGAATATAAAATATATACCATCAAGATAAACATGTCTAGTATAAATGTATTGATTGCTTTATTAGTTTCATTAAAAAATAACTGTAAAATAAGATATGATACCTGGGAAGATCAAAAATAGTAAGCAACCATAAAAACTCACTATTGGGCGTTACTATGAAATACTGCATCATAGTGATGCCATAGGATAGGAAAATGACTAACCTGAATGAGGCAATGTCCAAACTCACACTACGGGACTTTTTTTTAGAACATTATAAAAACGTTCCCCACTCTCATTGGTTCTGTCTTGAGGACACGCAAAACATCCCTCTCTGAACCTGCGCTCTCTCCTCTTAAAAGAAGCAGGAGTGTGTGTATTTAGGGTGGGGTAGGGGGGGTACTCAAATCGTCCCACCTCCCTCTCTCCCAGTCAAGACGCTCCAAACTTTCGGAGCGCACCGCGGATATTCTCCATAGAGTTTTCAGCTCCTGCTTCGGAACTTCGCCGAGTTATAGGAGACAGAAAAAGTGTCAGACAGAAACGACTAAGCTGAGCCGCTGGAATGGCGAAGGGGCGGAATGGTCCTCCAGCCAAGCGGCACATGTGAGCCAAGAGGCCACCGGTACTTTTTTTTTAATATTTCAAAGCAGACGGAGACAGAGCAGTAAAAAGAAAGTATATAGGAGAGACATATAAAGTCTCGGAGAGCTGACTGTCAGAAGTGTCCTGTCACCTAGACACGATGGTCTGTCTGCCGGGATTCAGCTGGGTCTTCCTGAGCGCGCTCCTGCACACTGTGGCACCCTGGGGCGCACACCGACCGGACAGACCGAGGCAATGTGACGCACCAAAATCGGTGAGTCGTGTTGGGGCACTTTATCAAGTCAATGGCAACAAGATTTCTCCCGAAGCAGACGCGCATCCGAACCCGCATATGATAAGATTGTTCCCTGTCTGACAACTTTGTTATTCAGCCTATAGAAGTTAACATGGTGACACTTGTTGTCAAAACTGTTTTTTGTTGATGACTTAGTTGGAGAAATAAAAGAGAAACTTGACTTTATTATTTTATTGTAGGTTATTTATTTAATTTGGGGGTATAACTTTATGACAGGACGCCACAATCACACTCCATCTTGTAGGCAACCATTCATCAGCTCTACAGTAAGGTCAATGGTTACGGTCTTTTAAAAATTGGAATCATTTTTATTATTAACAAATAAACTTTGTGCAATGAGATGAACCAATGATTAAACAAAAAGCTGGGATGAATTTGGGAAGTTGTAGGCTAAGTGCATGATTAATATGGGCTGCCTGATAATTACCGTCTATAATATTATTAATAATAATCATAATAAAAACAATACTGCATTTTCTGTACTATTAGCATTAAATAGCATTACATTTCAGTGATTAAACATTGCGTTATTATTATCTTCACGCATGTGTAAATCCGCTAGACCTATTTCTGACCTGGCTCAAAAAATAACGAGGTTACAGAAGAGATCGGCCCTCAGAAATGAAAGCAGTTGCCAAGAGAACATTTTTACCGCTCGCCAACTTTATGGCTGTTTATGTGACAAACGCAAGTGGGGAACACCCAAGGGTGACTTCACTTTATCTGTAAAGAGTTTCCTTGACCTTTTCAGACACGCTCATGTTTCAGCGCAACACACGGCCCATTAAAACATCGGGCATATTGGTAAAATGATGAACGTGGCTTGAACTCTTACCGTGAGGAGGTGCAGCCGTGCAGAGCATCCAGCCTGTCTGTCTGCCTCCCGATGTGAATGCACCCACGACATGAAGAAAAAAAAGTTAATCAAAATCATGACTGCAGACATCACATCCAACACGCTTCCCTTCTGCAAAAAAACCCCTCAGTTTAAAATATGACACTTGGCGGTTTTGCGCGAATCTCATTAGGGAGTCGTTCAGAGATCACAGGCTTTTGTTTCATTAGTGCATTATGTCCTATATGCGGATAACGGATCTGTTGTCAGAGATCACTGAAGACTTCGTGCTCCTTCGCTTCATGTGATTTGTAATGCGTCAGTACAGTGGTCTCTGTTTTCTGTTAGGAGTAATTACCCTCATAAAACGGAGCCCTGCGCGTCAGGGCTCTCCAGAAAAAGTCCATGCAGCTTCAGCAGAGGGGATCTCGCCTCTCCTCAGAGCACGACCGCACTTTCCATGTCAAAAAGTCTTCGTTTATGAGGTAGGCCTAAAAAGCGTGCAGTTACTAGTTAACGAAAGATAAAATGCTGCACATGGAAATAAAAAAAGTTCCGCTCTTCAAGTTTCCGTGTCTCAAAAATATGCTGGAGAATGCACTAATGCATCTTATGCCGTCCAAACCTTTCCCGTTAGTCTACAGAGCGTCGGTTGCATCCTGCCAATGTGAAAATCAAGTTAGAAACCAAGAAACAAACTGTGTAAACATTTCAGTGTATCTGCGAAGAAGAAACCCTGCTCTGAAATTAAATATAGCACTTTCGATTTATTTTGTCAAGCAGGAGATTGTGCCAGAAATTACTGCACGTTCATTGCAGTTAATTGTGATGATAACAGAACATCCCGCAAGACCACTTCACTCGCCGACTGGCAGCCGATTGAAAAGTTTTATGTGACAAAGGCAGCGTTGGCAGCCTGCAATATAATTGGAACCCAGCTGAAGGAAATCTTGATTAAATTTTAGAAGTAAACATTTTCTAAGAATAACTTTATTTTACAGTAATAGGTTTCATCCCTCAAATGCTTGATTACACTGTGTCTCAGAAGCCAGAGGTTTGATATTGTTTATAGAAGCTAATTCTTTTTTTTTTTCATATTTGAATAATGCCAACATCAAAGTTATAGCACATGCACAGCACATTTGCAGAGCACTTAACAAGAAACATATTTTTAATGCAATACAGGCCTTATGCTCATTTAGTGTGGCTGTTATTATTTTATTTCCATTGTGACATTGTTTTGTATAAAGATAACCACAGTAGACAAACACTTCCTGTAATATAAACCTGGAGGACAAAAACCGTGCCATACTTAAGGCTGTCAGCACCCAGATCTCCCTGCCTGGTGTAAAAAATTTCACAAACAAAATTATCACAGTGGGGTCAGAACAGAAAGCAGGTTTCTTTCAGCTTTTGGCTTTTATGAGCTCCACTGCAGTATATTTGCACTGCAGCCTTCAAAATGCTTCCCAGGCTGAAAGAGGCTTTGGCAACTGAGGTATGCACCTCAACAATACACGGGGGTTTGTTAACAGCCCAGAAGGCCCCTCTGTAAACCCGCTGCCTGCACCAGAGCAGTGAGCCCTCGCAGCTCCACTGTGACCTGAATGGACTTCATACTTCCCCTGCAGTCATCTCAAAATGGTATTTCAATCTTTAACTTGTTGACCCGAGCCTATGAGCCAGTAAACCACAATAGAGGAAAAAAGTGTCAACTATAGTTTTCAGGCAAATTTTTATTGCTCTAACATGATGGTTCCTGTATTTTTGTTTCCTTTTGCTCTCCAAATCTTTCCCTCCCTCTCTTATTTTCTTTCCCTCCCTCCTTCCTATGCCTCTTCAACAGCAAAATGACATGAACTCTTTCCTGTGGAGAGTAAAGCGTGCTCCTCCTCACACCCCTTCTTACTTATTTGGTACCATCCACGTGCCCTACACTCGAGTATGGGACTTCATCCCCGACAGGTCCAAGCAGGCTTTCCACAACAGCCGCAATGTTTTCTTTGAGCTGGACCTGACCGACCCTCTGACCATCTCCAAGCTGACCAGCTGCCAGCTGCTCCCCCATGGGGAAAACCTGCAGACCCTGCTACCTCGAGACTTGTACCGCCGCCTCAAACGTCACCTGGACTATGTCAAACACATGATGCCTCACTGGATGACTGCTGACCAGCGTGGCCGAGGCCTGTATGCGGACTACTTGTTCAACGCCATTGCGGGAAACTGGGAGAGGAAACGGCCTGTGTGGGTGATGCTGATGGTCAACTCATTGACGGAGTGGGACGTTCGGTCAAGGGGGACGCCTGTGCTGGACCTGTTCTTGGCTCAAGAGGCTGAAAGGATGGGAAAGACGACAGGGGCAGTGGAGCGGGTGGAGGAGCAGTGTCACCCCCTCAACGGGCTAAACTTCTCTCAGGTAAGAGAGGAATGAACCCTTGTTTATTTTCTCCCTTTTGCATTTGATTCCCTGTGTGTACACAGCTGGAACAGCTGGAGAAACTGCAAGAACAAGCCAGGTCTATGAGTAGATGTAAGTTTGTGTATTCTGTATTATTCAGCTTGTAGTGAAGTAGCTCTGAAGACGAGCAGGTTGAGCTCGATAATCCACAGCCAAAGTTGAGTGTGTGCGCACAGATTTTGGGTGTTGCACCCTCTCTGAGTGAAATAGTCAGAGAATGTGGGAGAAGACATTATAAGGAGGGGGGAAAAATGTGATTAAAGCCTTTCTACTGAAGACAGCTTTATGGTTATGAATATCCCTCCACCTCACTAAACAAACACACTCAACAGCTGAATCTGCAGAGAGGGTGTCAGGCTGAGCAATGCACATGCAGAACAGATTAGAGAAGGTGAGAAGAGCGGAGAGCTCTCTCTTTCATTAATGCAGACTGTCTGTCTCTCTGCGGTATTGCAAGGCTCGCAGTGTAATCAGAGACTTGAAGATGAACGAATAACCTAATTACTCGTTGAGCAAAACATGGGGAGTATATCCACCTTTTATTTCTCATGATACAGAAATGAAGGGAACATGCATCTATTTAAAGAATTAGTTATTTGGAGGTCACCTAAGTTGGAGGCTGGAGACCATTTTTCCATGCCACTGTGGGAGGTCCCACAAAAACCTGTGATCAGCCTCGACAGCATGAGGGAGATGCTCTGTTTTAATTTATGCTCTAATACAACCTTTGGTCTACATTAAGGAGGAAAAACAACACAGTGTGTGTACCAATGCAGTACTCACAACCAAACACATGTGCTTTCCATGCACAGTGCACCACACACGAAGGCACACTGGAAACATGCAAAGCTCCATACATGCACATTGGTAGTGCGGTGCAACACAATCTGTGATGGCCTATGCACTTCCATGTGACAGGTCGGAGGGCTCTGGGGCTAATTTGAGAGGCAGTGGGCTCCCAGCCTCTCCTCTTTCATCAGCACCTCCTAACTACGCTGTCAAAGTTGCACTGCGTGCCCTGCACATGCCTGGGAGCTTTACTGCCCCTAGAAATAAGCTCAGCAAGGCACACTGTGCTTCTCAGTAAGGAAGAGGAGTGCTGTTGGGAGGCCTTTGCAATCTGTGTAGTCTGTTATGTCCTGTAGACGTGTTAATTTCTAGTTATCCATGTCTTTTTCAGCTGTAAAGTAGTGTCATTGTAACTGTCCCTACTGTACTTAATGTGGCAGGTGCGGCAGTTGCCCCTAAAAACAACACTGTTTTAAATTACATCCTAACAGGGTTGAGTAGCAGTACAGTGTCCAACTTTAGAAAGCAGTGTTTATGTTTTCTGAGAACTTCTAATCGACTTTAATAAGCAAATATGTTGTTCTTCAGAGAAAAGATTGGGCTGAATGCACCGAATTTACAGGGGATGGTAACATTTTTACTGGACCGGTGTTCAAATTCAGAGACGGGTTTTATTGCCACGGAAATTCAGTCAAAATGGGATCATGGATAACTTGAATTTCACTCCACCGGAGCACAAGCGCCGTTGGACTTCTGAGCTTCACACCCCCTCGTTTCCACATATGTATGAGAACAATTCAGAGTTGAACTAAGACTGACATGGAAACCATTATTCTCAATTATAATAATTTGTGATTTAATCTGAACACTATGGTTGATTGATTCCCTCTACGCTTGAATGTAACAAGGATGAGGTCAGAAGGATGGATAGAGAAATTGTCAAAGAGAAAATGCCTGGGTGGGAGTCAGAAGAAAGAGAAGTGAGACATAGAGAGAGACAGGCGGAGATAGAGACTGACTGGGGAATAGAAAAAAAAAGTGTAATGGCAGCGGTGAGGTTGAAAATTCGGGGAAACTGATGTGCATCGTCTCACCGCTAACGCTAATCTGAAACATGAGCAATTCTTATGGGGAGATCTGAGTTGGGAAAGGCTCCAAACCCCGAAGGCCCACATATTATTTGTTCCTAATAAAAGTAGTTGCTTACAATATCCTGTAACTTTGACTTCACCATGTGGCTCTTAGAAATGTGAACGCTAGTGACTCATCATCCGTCACGCTGTATTTTTCTCATAGGCACCTGGTCCCAGTGGTGCCAGTGCAGTGGGGCTAGCACCACGGGTAGAGGGGCGGTGTTGAGGCACTGGTCCAGGTCTACAGGTTAGCTGTTGCTGGGAGACCTGTCGTTTTTGTATGAAAAGAGGAAACAGAGCATCATCCTCTGTGGGATAGGAGGAGGTGGGGAGTTTTAATGCAGTGTTTGTCTGAGAGACGTTAAGTGTGCCAGAGCCCTCTTTACACCATTGTGATATAACAAGAGCTCTGTATGAGACCTCTCTATGGTCTCTTTAGATCACAGAGAGGTGCGGATGTCTCTGTGAGAGGCCGTACATAGGTTGTGGAAACAAAGGCGAATCGTGGTGCATGGTTCTTCTCCAGTTCTTTGGAGGCTGATGTAGGTTGACAGCTGGGCAGGCCAGCCAGTACCAAAGTCTTTGTGAATGTTTTGAGCACGGAGTGGGAACGGCTGGAGAAAGTTGGCTTTAAGTGTGCAAGCTGCACGATCACATCTCCAGGAGGCGACTGCTATACACCCACTTGCTTCAAGGGAGGTTCAATGATTTACCTTCATGACTTTTCAGGTATTATACCATCGCAAATGTAAGCACGCCATGTATATAAATCAGAAGACGCAAGGTGCTTTTGCATCTACAGTATTGAGAAAAGGCAATTATGTCAAAGTCTCAGCATCCCAGTGGTACAGTGTATTGTTGGTGCACACTACCAAGCCACTATGGCTTATATTCACCTAGGTATGTGTATGTTACTGGAGTTAAGATGTGGAACAAAAAAGCCAATGCAGCCTTTGGGAAATGTGAGGGCAGCTCTAGCCTGTGGGCCTCTCACACTCCCACCAAATAAACACCCATATTTATTTTCCCTGGGTCGCTTTGCAGCTGAGGCCACTGGCCCATGTCGGAGAGAAATTACATCATATCGGTGGCGCCTGTCTCCTGGCAGGGGTCAAGGGTCACGGCAGGAGGTGGTAGTGGAGTCACGGAGCAGCAGAGCGGTAAGGAGACTGGCAGTCTGCTGGGGTCAGTCTGGGCACTGCTGAGCAGGCAGGCAGCCCCCAAACTGATAGAGTGCCTGGACCAACCTCTGACCAGGCTGAGTTTCCATCAGCTCGGGCTATTTTGTGCTATAACTTGTGCAACTGTGTGTGTGTGAGTGAGTGAGAGTGAGAGATGGCTGACTGTCGGTACGTCCCAGTGTCATCTCAGAGCTGGAGAAGAGAGCGGGTAAGGGTTTTAAGGGACAGGGTAGGTGACAGAATCTGGTTTCTTCTCAGCAGGAGGGAGCCCTGTTTACA